TAGTTTTAGATTCTCAACCGATTTTTTTTCACACAACTTTCTGAAAACAGCTGTAAATAGAAAAAGAAAAAAAGAAAAAAAGATTTTAAAGGAAAGTATGGTTAGAGAAAAAAATTTATTCACGATACATTTTTTTTTTGATTCATAAAAGGCCCATTTTTTGATACTATCCATGTGACTTGACCCTTCCAATCCTAATAAAAAGGTGGCCTTTTTTTATGATTCAAAAAATGAACCCTGGAATCAAAAAAACGGGATTGCAAAATATATATATATTTATTTAGAGAAACAATTGACTAAAGATTAGTGTAATAATTAGTTTATGTTAGGATATATCGCTTTATTAGTTTTACAACCTCTTTTCACTATACCTCGTGAGATACAGTATTTTCTTTTATTCGAAATGATGAATTGGTAACTGTTACTGTAATAGAATTTTGAAGATCATTTCTAAACCCAAATTATCTCCTTAAACTTAGTTTGCATGACGTTGTCTGCAATATGATGTCCTCATTAAACTTAGTTTGCATGACGTTGTCTGTAATATGATGTCGTATGCATAGAATTATTCAATGGGCTCAACAAAGAATCGGATTGGTCTTGTATGATCAAATCGAACAATCAGATGTTTTGTTGAGCTCATTGAGATAATACGTGTTTGAGAGCACCATAGAATTCAATTTTATTTTTAGCATACAGGAAAATTTAGTAATTCTTGTAAACTTTGATGATGAGACTGAGTAAAGCGAGATCCAAATACAAAATTTTAAAAATTGTAAAGCTAAGCTTAACAGAATGATAATAAACATGAAAAATGTAAATTTGAGTTTGAAAATTGAAACAGAAAGTTGTATGAAAAAAAATCGGTTGAGAATCTAAAACTACTGATTTCTATTGATATACTTTTATAGTTATTTCCAAGCTAGCCTTATACGTACTGTATATTTGAATTCTTTCACTAAAAAGGGATTATAATATGATTAGTAAACGTTATTGAAATATGTTTGAAAGATATTGGCAGAGCGACACGAGGCCGAAACATAAAAAATGTAAAGCTAAGGCTGAATGAAGCGAGATTAAAGAAAATAAATAGGAATGCTACTTTAAAATATAGCATTAACAAAAAAAATAAGTATAGTATAACGGTTGGTTTAAAAATAAGGCCAAACAAGCAAGGATAAAGGCTACATATAAAAAAGTTGATGAAAACTACACATTCACGTTTCTGTTCAAAAACCAACATTATTTGTATTGAGTTTTTTATATAGAGTTTTGATTTCGATGAGTTATGTCTAATTAGTTGGTGGCGAAGCCACTACATGATCGTGTGCTAGTTTAATGTAAATGCAATAATTATAACATCATAAGTGAAATCTAATTTACCAAATTTGTACGACTAACAATTTGCACGCGAACATAGGATGTGATTCGTGTAAATAGGACTACTATTATTTTTATATCAGGGACTGAATTTTACGGGAGTAAAACGAAGCGTAAAGGGATGATCAGTAGATCTTTCTTTTTTCTATTTTTGTTTTTTGGTTCATCGAAATGGTGATAGTGATCGTGAACACATAAATATATACAGTATATATGTATGAATGCTAAAATTAGGCTATTTATTTTTATGCGTAATTCTACGTAATTGAAATTGATTATGCACGGACTTACGCATATTTTGTCATCTATGATACTAAATAAAGATACTAATGCTAAATTAAGATACTAGGATAAGATACTAGGATAAGATACTAGATGAAATCGATTTATAAGAACGAACGCATTTTCAATCTTGGTACGACCAAACATGCATAATTTATTTATTAATATGTAGGATGCATATTACATATGAATTATGTACGTATATGTCGTGCCTCAGATTAACGCTTGCCTCAGATGTCGATCGGCCTAAGTTAGGTTAGGATTAGGGTAAGAATTTGGTAAGAATTAAGGTATAATTTAGGCCAATCAACATATGTACGTAATGTACGTGCAATTATCGTTATATTTGATGGAGTATACAGAATAATTAATAAAGTATGTATGGTAAAAATTAAGATAGCATGTATATGAATGAATATTAAAAAAAGATCACTTATAAAAAATAAATAAGGTTTGTTAATCATACATACTTTCGTAGCTTACGTTTATATCTGAATACATTACTAATATACAAGTTAAATATTATACAACACATATTCCTGTAATACCCTATTTGATGTCACTTATGAGATTGAAATTATGCACGTATATTGATTTATTATGTAATATGTTTAGAATAATGCATTAATTGATGCTAAAAAGAAATTACAAACCGCGAAAATTTACAAATGATAAACTAAGTTATTAAAATATTGTTGTATAGTTTCTTATAACTAACTTATTTCCTACAAATTATTCATTGAGTGTACAATACTCTTTATTTCTAAAAGTTTTAGTAGGAAAGACATGAAATTTCCTACATTTATCTACGAGTAACTCAACTATTTCTTCAACCTTATAAGTAGGATTTTTGATAGCTTCATGGGCCAATTCGGTAAGTCTTTTAGCATCATTCTCCGAAACTTTATCCATTATACTATCCTCTTCGTTCAAATTCAATTGAATCCGATAATATTTTGTGTCGTCAAGATGAGCCAAAAGTTTCATAGTATTGTCATGATTATCGAGCTCAGAATTGAATAAAAGATTAATCAATGGTTTTATCCATTGAACAACACCACAATCTTTATAATGTTCTAAAGGTTCTTTATAATAACCAGTACCGAGAGAAACCACAACAAATTTCGATTTTGGATACTTTCTTTTTGCTTCAAGATAAGCTTTAACGGTTGGATTATTTGAAAAAACACCACCGTCTATGAAATAATCGGAATCTATTTGTTTTGCAGGAAAATAAGTAGGAGCAGAAGCACTGGCACGTATAACATCTTTCATGTAATGATCTTTAAATTTGGGATCATAATTGGTAAAAAGAGTATATTCACATTTGGAGATATTATAAGCAGGAATGATTACGATCACACCATTAACAGTGTCCTCGAGTTTATTATGTTTGAAATTTTTGTCTAATAATTCTTCAAATCCCTTAGGTGGATATCTCGGCATCCAAGGATTAAAAGCATTTACTAAATTGGAAAAATGCTCCCATGCGCTATAATGATGATCTTTATTAACAATAGTAGTAGTAGTAGTAGTAGTTTCGTTTTTGGCTTCAATAGTGATTTTATCTTCAGGTATAGCAACGATTGTATCTTCAGATTTCTCATTGACTATGTGTTTAGTTGAAATTTCAGGAGTAGCATTGATTATATCATCTGATTTAGCATTGGTTGTCTCTTCGGATATTATAATTTCTGAAGTTTCATCAGGTTTATTCTTGCCTTTTTTATTAATTCTAAGCTTGGCTAAAAACTCGGTTTTAAACTCGACTTCATTATTTATTTCCGGAGTATCATCAGGTTTATCATTGATTGTATCATTGGTTGTATCATTGATTGTATCATCAGGTTTATTATTTCCTTTTCTCTTAAGTCTAAGCTTGGCTATAAATTCATTTTTAATCTCGGCTTCATTCTTTTTTTTTCTTTTTTTTTTTAAAAGCGTTGTAGTACTAACTATTCTAACTAATGTTCTGAATTCTTTAGCACCATTTTTTCTTTTCTTGGAACCGCTATTATTTTTTTCTTTTTTATTTGTACTTCTACCCCACAAAAGCCTGCTGAAATAAGATCTTTTTGTTTCGTCAGTAGATTCATCTTTTTCAGCTATATCTTTGTTATTCTCAGCATTAGTGGAAGAGCTATGACCCAAAGGAAGAGTCATGGCGCCAAATAAATTTTTAACCATATCATAACCAGTACCAGTAAGGTTCGGTAATTTGGGTAATAATTTATCGACAGACATAACAACAGAATAATCAGGAAAGACATCATAACCATGTTCTTTATAAAAATCCACGATATAATTAGCATCGAATTTAGGACGCTTATTTTTATCAGGAAGGGATAAACCCAAAGCAAGTATAGAGCCAGTCGATGTACCAGATATAATTTCAAATAAATCAGCACATCTTATATCAACATCAATATCTGGATGATCATTTTTTATTCTTTCGGTCACTCTTTGTTCGATTTCATTGAGAATAACGGCAGGGATTATACCTCGAAAACCTCCACCATCAATTGAAAGAATAAATCTTGTGTCTCTCGTGTCTTCCAATTCTGTGTCTTTCTTGTCTTCTAATTTTGTGTCTTTCATGTCTTTTAATTTTGTGTCTTTCGTGTCTTCCAATTTTGCATCTTTTTTGTCTTCCAATTTTGTATCTTTCGTGTCTTCTAATTTTGCATCTTTCGTGTCCTCCAATTTTGCATCTTTCGTGTCTTCCAATTTTGTATCTTTCGTATCTTCCATAATCATTATCTTTTTCTTATTTTGAAAATTTAAAAATTATAATATCTAACATTAAATTGATATTTTCTTGCAAAGGAATTAGGTTTTTTTTTTTTTTGACGAAAAAAAAATTAAGGCAAAAACTTTTTTGTTCAAATATTTATAGGTTTATTTGTACTATGTAAACAAATCTGTTGTAATTAACATGTGAACGGGAAAATGGAATACAGGGTACTAAAATAGTCACTTTAATAAGACTTAAACAGGAGAAACCTTGTGAGGCTTTTAATTTTGTGGCTTTAATTTAAGGGTATATATTTATAATGATAAAAGAAGCAAATTCTTGGAACCGGAAACATATGTATGCTTAGAGAGGCGTGCAGTTACTATCAGTATAAGCCAGTTTAAGGTAAGCTGAACAAACTTGATGCAATGTTTTCCGTTCTCCGCACACGTGCTAAACTCTAGAACTTTCCTGTCTTTTGATCGTCTTTTTTTATCGCACGTACTTGGTATAGATAATCAATCAGGAAGCATTGTTGTTTTATTTACAGATCATTTCTGAACTTGATTATGTTTGTTCGTGTGTAAAGTTCTCGACGGATTTATTCTGTAACACAAACATGAGATAATAAACATTCTATTTGCCACAAATTTGCCTCAAAATCAAAATTAGGCCACTTAGGGTTAAAAAAAAGACAGCGATTATACTAAAATTATGCAAGGGAATTTTTTTTGTTAGAACATAAAAGGTAGTTTTTTAGGAAAAATTTCGAGTTATTAGCGATCTTTTAAAAAATACAGAACAAATTTTTTGATTTGTATCACAATGGAAAAAATATGAGAATCGGTCTTTTAATTACAACATTTCCTTTTGGCTTGTATCACGATGGGAAATACAGTAATAGGAAAGGTCTTTTAATTACATGTGTACGCCATCTTTCCTTTTTAATGAATGAGGAAGGGATTTTCATAAAAGAATTTTCAAAACGATCGATAAGAATTGATTCCATAATTGGATGTATGCATCTTTACGTAATGATAAGTGATCGTCGTTCATTTATTAGTTATGTACATATCTACGCATCTGATATGTTAATATTTATGTACAACGAGCCTCGATATCTTATCAGTACTACGTATTTGAGCTGCATCTTTCGGAAGACCAAACTCGATTTGAAACAAAGTTACACCAGGAACGGGGTGTTATGTGTAGCATAACACGATGGTTATACGCACGTCTGAAATCTGTGACAGGTTATGTCGATCACCAAATCGAAAGAGCGTGCAGATTAGAATTAAGCACAGTCTTTAATTTACTTGATATTCGATATTTAAATGTACTTCTATAACTAAAATTTCGTGCTGAAAACTTGTATTTAGAAGTCAAACTGTGGTTATCATAGTAAAATCTTGAGTTATTTACGATTTTTCTGTTTTTCGGATTTTTTAAGTTACACATGATCTTGTGATATTATTGGCTACAACAAGGGGGTCCTTAAAGCCCGGCAGAAGTTAGGGTTACTTTTTTGATTCAGTTAGAGTTAGCGGTTTATTAAAATATCAAGAACGCAAGTTATGCAATATGTAGATCAATATGTAAATCTGCCCCGCTTTAAGGGACCCCTACAACAAGCAATGATCGACATAACCTGTCACAGATTTCAGACGTGCTGGTTATACGGCAAAACTTTAACCTGATTGATTCATGATTCAGATAAAATAAACCTTCACTTGTGGCTGCTTCACATTGCTTATCATTTATTAAATCATTTATTAATATCGATGCATGTAAATTTACTAATAATACGTACGTACTTGTTTGACCTTCTTTCTTATTGGTTTTATCTTTGCCCATGATTCGCAATATTTCCTTTTTAATTAAAATAGGAAACGAGTTCCATAAAAAAAAAAAAACTTAGTATTATCTTACCGGATTATGTGAACTTGAGTTGCATGTTCAGACTTTCTCTGTGCATTAGTATGAGAAAGCCAAAACATTTTGTCGTATGTGGATTGTATTTATACTTTTTTCTTCTTTTCTTTCTTGATTTTTGATTAAATTTAGTCTTTATAAAATTAGATTATATAATTGGATCTTGGATCTTTTTTTTTGCAATTAGTAATTCCAAAATAAATTTATTTCATCTGCTTGCAGTGATAATGTGATAATTGCCACACAATATCATCATGTAACATGAAATATATAAAAATGCAGCATAATCAGAGTACGAGAAATGGTACGTACGTACGTACGTACATACGTGTACGTAGCATTTCATACGTATGACCATGTGCATATCTTTTACATAATCGGTTGTGCAAAAGATCACGGAAAAAACTTCATACAGTCATACATAAACATCGGATAACTTCATTATTGGACAATACAATAAATAACGAAAAAAATTTTTTTCATCTGACAAAAAAAAAAAATCCCGTTATTTTTCATTTGCCCAATAATGTATACTTATACCGAAACTTTGCGAGGAAATTTTTTTTTTTTTGATTTGATTTGTTTTGTTTGGTTAGAACGTAAAAGATTGTTCTAGATTGAATTATTGAGTTACGAACGTTTTTTGAAATTATTTGTTATACCTGATTTTCGTCAATCACACATCACTGGCGATCATCACCGCTATTGATCGACATTATTATCTGTTTTAAATATTGACTACGTATTAAATTATGCAAATGAGTGACGCCAAGGCAAAACCTGTAGGCAAATATTTATGCATCAATAAGAACAACCAGAACAGTGAGTGTATATGTTGCACGTGGAAACGGAATTTAAGCGAATTCGGAATTTATATATAAAACCCCGTTTTTTTGGGGTTGATTTTATCATATGTACACCCTAACCCTACCTAATTTAACTAGGAAATTCCCACTTACAACATATACAATGATTTAATACGTCATATCATAATTTTCCCAGGGATAAACTCGCCTTATTGATACCTCAAAATTTGCTAACAGGTTTTTTGCCTTGGCATCACTTAAATAAAAGAAAATATTGCACAATGGTAAATATTTAAGAGTTTGAAAAAAACTTATTCCAAATGCACCGACTTACTTCAAATTAACTTGTAAAAAATTTAAATACTGTACAAAGTAAATACATATCAATATTTATTACTTAATCTCGATGCATATATTTGTAAATGATTTTTATTGCTAAATTATGCGGTAATAAATTTCTGTGAATAGCTGAATAACTTATTTTAAATACGTGTTCAGCTCTTTGTGTTCACTCACCAAATCAACATGACATGACTAATAATAAAATTTGGCGAAAAATGCATAAAACTAAATTAGGCATTAGCACAAATGTAAAATTAGCATTTTTTTTTTTTTTTGCATTATAATTTATTATTATCCTCTTTAGCTACACCTATGCTCTATACACTTGGATATTGTTTTTTTCTTAAAAATGGCTTGATAAATAGATTAGGAAATCTTATACAAATTAATCCAACACATGTCTAATATATTATCCAATTAGAAGCATGCATGCATTCGTATAATCAAAAGTTGACAAAATGATATATCCAAATCAAGTAAGATGCACATGTATTACACAATTCAGTAATATACAGGTAAAAATGAGATATAACTCGTGTAAATTATAAATACAGTAAATAATATTTAAGTCTATGACCAGATAAGGAAATTTTAACTAATGTTATTTGATAATGCAAATGCAATATCCATTGTTTTTTTTTTGAACCCACACATACGTCAATATCCAAAAGGCTTTATACGGTGTACAAATTCTTATTCAGTTTTTAAGGGTTACATTTGATATTAATAATCATGTCAACCGACTGACGTTGACACCCGACTAAAGTTGCACTTGATTGAAATTAACCCCTGGAAGATCGTCTTGCGCGCATTAATAAACAATTTTAGGCAAGTGTCAGTCACAACATTAATATACCGCCACCGCAAGTATTACCTATGCTTTTTGCTTGATTCTTTTCAGACCCTAAAATTTAAATACGTCATAAATTTAAATAGATTGTTAATGCTTTTATCGTTATAATGTCATAATACTCCGTTATACTAATACATAATTGATTATTAATATGTACAAATTAGTTAAATTTTGGGCGTAAACAGACTCAATCTTGAATTTATTGCGCTTATTATTATTATTATTATTACATATTAATTATGAAAAGTTTTTAATTTATTAAGACAAAGCAGATGATAATTACGTATAATACAACACATTTATCCTTCTTGTTCGTAAGTCCTTTGAACGAATATTAGAAATTTATATTAGTCAAATTAAAAACGATCGATATTTAATGGCTACAATGAACGCTTAAGCATATTGAAAAATCCTGACCCAAAACCTAAATATTTTAGGTTAATTTTATATTTTTATTTTAGTTTTATTTTATTTTTATTTTTAAAAATATCTAATTTTCATCATAGGTGATTATTACCTGTAATTTTCAATATATAACAAAATAACAAAATATTTTTTTTTAATATTTTTATAATAAGACCAGGATAAGCTTTGGAATATAGCAAGAGCATTGCTTATAATAAAATTTTGCAATAAATTTTTTTGTTAAAACTTAAAAGGTGGTTTTATAAGCAAAATTTTAAAATATTAATAATATAGGTAATAATTATCTGTTATATAAATTAGCAAATTTTTTTATTTTTTTATTTTTTAATTTTATTTTTTTATTTATTTTTTAATTTTATTTTTTTTGTTTTTTATTTTTTATTTTTTATTTTTTATTTAAAAATAACTAAATTTAATTAAAAAATTTTAGTAACTATAACTGGTAGTGATCATTACTAGTGTATAATTAGCTAATAAATTTGCAAGATCAAATATAATATACAAATTATTTTGTATAACAACAATAAAGATTTTTTTAAAAAAAATGATAATATCTCAAGAATTTACCTATAAAACTATATTTAAAGTTCTAATAAAAAAATTTTTTGCTAATTTTTGCAGATATTTAACATCTTGCTAAAATATTAGACCTTACTTT